ATTGAACTTTCCATTTTATTTATTACTCTAATCGTTCGAGTGATATTAAAATGATTAAGTTTAAGCTTTTGAGTTCAGAAATTGTTTGGATGAATAAATAAGTTGTTTATCCGTTAATCAATAGAACCTGGTAACATTTAGGATATTTGAAAATATTGAAGCAATTCTTTTAGTAAAATATATTTCGATAAAGTATTATGACAAAAAGCGATAAAAATATTGCATTTTTTTTTTACCCTGATGATGTAAATAAATGTTTGCAGCATGCAAATTTTTAGCATGAAACATGCAATTTTTAGTGCAAAATACATTTTAAATAGCAAATAATAAGCTTTACTTATGAGATACGTTTTTAAATAGCAAATTTCGGCATAGAAGTGCGTTTTGATTATTTAGGAGCGTATTAATCATGTATTATAATGCTAGTTATAAAAGGAAAAAAAGTGACTGATGGTAGAAATCATTCACTACCAAAATGTTTCATTCTAATTAAGATAAATATGACCTATATGGTTTGCAGGTAGAAGTGAAAGGAGCTTTTCAACAACAGTAATAACAAATGAATCCCATAGCATACAGATCATAGGCGGCATGACCGCTGATGGAATTCCACTTTGTACGGGTTTATATGTTGTGCCGAAAACGACGGAAACAAAAGAAGTAAGAACGACGATGACAACTACAACGACAACAACATACAGCGTTATTGAAATTGACGACAGTGAGGAGGAGTTGAAGGTAGAAACGGAAGAGAAAACAGAGCCGGAAAGTACACAAATAACATTGGATTTCCCGCTAGACTACGAAGTTCTCGATTTCGAAGATTTGATGGCAGAATCGTCCGCAGAAGAAAAAGAGCGCCTTTATGTGGTGGTAGGAAAGAAGGATTCACCAACCCGAACAGCTGATGCGGCAGACTACGTAGTGAAGATGATCGATATCGATCTAGCATCCAGCGAAAGCAAAGATTCACCAAGTATAGAAGCAATATCAGATGCAGAAATTGAAGGACTGAGTGAAACAGAAGGATACACTGGCAGGCATGACTACGATGCTTGCGAAGGAACTATTGCATCCACTAGCCGAATTAGTGAGAAAGATCAAAAAGCAATGGATCGGTATGTGACAGTATATAAGAATGGAGCGTCATCAAGGAAGCCCGATCCTGAGGAGGAAAGGATAAGTAAAGAGATTTCGACCGTAGTTGCGAAGCTTTCAGGAGCATATAAAAGAGCATCTGTTGAAGGAGAGCACACAGTATACACGGATGAAAGAACGGAGACAGAGCATGATGCATCCTGGCAAATGAAAGAGTCCCCACGGAGATTGAAGTCAACTTACACAGTTCGATTCTCTGATCCATTTCGCATAGAAGCAGATGATTCTTCATGGACCCGAAAACAAAAGCATTCAGAAACAACATTCCAGAAAGCAAAAAACCACCAAGGGCAAATAAGTGATGAGGAGAAAAGAGGAAAAGAGGAACAAACCCAAACAAAGAGAAAGGATATAACCGAAGAACCAAGACAAAAAAAACCATTTGCTCCTAAAATAATCACCGGATTGTTCAAAAAGGGAGATGTATATCCTGATTACCCTGTAACAGAAGCTTATGAAGGCCCCATTGATACAACTTATCGAACATCAGATGTGGAAGCAGAACCGATTGAACAACTAGTTACTGTTTATCACAGCGGAAGATCGGATAAATATGTACCAGTTGAAGAATGGAAGCCAAGTGTGGATATGGGTGAAGCATTTACAGATGCTGCTCAAGCACTTGGAGCAAAAATTACCGGCCTTTTCAAAAGAGGTCCTGCTCATCTGGATTATCCAACATCTGGCCCGTATGATGGACCACTTTCTTCAACAAGTTTAACATCAGATGTGGACGGAGAACCATTGCAACAGCATGTTGACGTTTATCACAGCGGGCGTTCTGACGAACCAGTGACAAAAATTGTTGAAATACCTACCGAAATACCGGTTGATGAGGTAGCAACAGAAGAAAATAAACCATTTGTTTCTGCCAAAATATTCACCGG